CACAAACATTAAACAAAAAAAAAAAAATAAAATAAATAATAATCAGCCATCACTAAATTTAGCCCAAAAAAAAAAATGGATTTACCTTTGGAGTTGCGAAGGGTTTTGAGGACGGTTTTGTAACCGAGTGTGTATTTTCCGCTCTTCATCACCAAAGCGAGCCTGTTGTTGATGCTCTCATGGGTCTTCTTCTGTTAAGAGAAATAAAAATTGCAACAAATGTAAATCAGTGTGTTAAATTATTCAAGAAATAAAGGAAAATCGAGGGATTCTTACGGTTTTCTTCGCCGTCGCCATGGTGGGAAGGTGAGCTAGGGTTTCGCAGCCGAACGACGGTGAATGGTGACCAAATATTCAGCCTGTAATTGGCCATTACGGCGTAATATAGTGTGGTGAGAGTATTATATGGCTTGATTGTTTACGAAATAATTTGTTCAAAATGCGTTATTTTAATTAATTATAATTAATTTTAAAAATAATGGTATGTTTAGTTGTTATTGAAATTTTAAAAATGTATTAAAATAATATTTAAAATAAAATAATTAAAATTGATTTGATGTAAAAGTAAGAGATAAATGATTGAAAATAATATGTAGTTAAAATTATATAAGTTGATGAATAGTGAATTAAAGTTGATTTGATATGTAAGAACGATTAGTTTGTATTATTTAATTATATTAATAATTTTAAAGATAATGGAATAGAGTTAAAATTGAGTTAAATTTTGAGTTAATAAAAGTGAGTAAATTAATCCATATACAGTCAAGCCCTTAGATTTGACAGAAGAGCACACTAGTGAAATTTCAGCTTTAACCCTCATTCATTTCCTTTTTTTTTTCTTCTCTATATTGCAACAATAAATTAGCTAAATTAAACAATCATTTTGGAATTATACAATAATCCATATATTAAATATATGGAAATAAATAGTTAATTATATGTTTTTTTTTTATGAATAAAATTTTGACACATAGGATTTTAAACACAAAAAATAATACATAAAACTACTAAACAACAAACTATTATACTATTCTTGAAAAACTTTGCATTTATAAGGTGAAATATGTAAATAATTATTTATTGAGTGTTATGTAAAATATGTTATTCTGGCATTTTTTTATACTACAAACGAGCGAAAAATCTAATTACAGTTGTTATTGTTTCATTCTTGGTTTGGAGTTGGAACATTTTGATTATGACACTTTTTTTTTATTTATTTGACGTGATGCGTGGCGCCTAGGCAGTCAGGCTTGATTACGACACTTAACATGTCATTGTTGCACTATCCATAGAGCAGTACCCAGAAAGCCTATTGTAGATTGTTAATAGCGTCTATTCGGCAAATTGAAATGGTTCACTTGTGGACTAGAGTAAGTGTTGCCATCCGATACATTTAGTTGATTAAGTCTATAGATAAGATCAGTCACCAAATGAACATTGTGTGTTTATGAGAAGCGTGGTGGTATTTTTATATTGTTCGTTGACGGCACTTCGATAACTTGAAGAAGTGTAAGAGTGTCGTCAAACGCAGAGATAAAATTATCCAAGCAGTTAGATGTCAAGGTTTAGACTTAACATTTTCATTATGACGAATTACACTGTGTATAATGTATAATCTTTAGGGTTGCATTATGTATAATGTATAATTTTTAGAGTTTTATTTGTTTACTGCCTTTGAACACTTTGGTGATGCCGTTGACTTTCTTGTTTTATGTTAAAAGTTAAAATCCAAAAGCAATGTTATAATAAACAAGTAAATTGTATAATCATTATTTGATCATTATTTGATCTTCAAAAAGCATATAAACTTTTTCTATATCAAAACACCATTTCATAATCAAACTTTGTAAAAGCAAAATAAAAAAGCCTAAGGAAATCAAGTCTTTAAACACACCATATGATGGGACAAAAAGAAAAGATTGAAATCATTTTATTTATTGCTCAATGGCCTTGAGCACAAAATGCCCTTCATTGACTTTCTTCATCACTTTCTTCTTCTTCTTCTTCTTCTTCTTCCAAATACAAGTGATTCATATTCCTTTCCAATGGAGGAAGACCGTCTTCAGAACCGCAAGATGATCCATCTTCATCATCACCGTCGGTGTTTCTACATTCCGATTGCTCTCCTGAATATATATATTTTTTTTTAATTCATTGTATACTATAACATCCACTATTTTAACAACAGTAAATAAACTGACAAAATTATTCTAAATGAATTAATGCTAAGGCCAAATGGTTGGGAGATGAAAAAAGAAGTAAAATAGAGAAGAAAAAGAACAAAATTAGAAAATCCCAGAACGAAATCGACATTATATGATCTCACCTCTTTCATTTGTGACTTCATTTGAAGTTGGCGAGTTTTTCTGCGAAAGCCACTCATTTTGAACAACGATCATATCTGCACCTTTTTTACAATTGGAGTATGCCTTGAGAAGTTCCCTACAATCAAATTTTTTTGCAAGCAATTTATACACAAGTTTAGAAAAATTGGAAACAATTTATCGGGAATAGTGTGATCCGAGTTTGCGACTTGAGCCAGAGAAATTTACCTGTTTAGGGACAAGAAAGCATGACCCCATTTGAATTTGCTGAGCAATAGATTTCCAGTTTCTTCCTCCCCACTGAGTAAAGAGAGGGATGAAATTAATATAAAATGTTTTAATTAGATATTGCAAGAAAAGATTATGCAGCTTACGAGTTGAACCAACCACATAGGCTCAAACTGAAGCATGTTTGAATATTGATTTTGCAATAATAAGATCCAAAACAAAGATGAATATTAATTTTGTCAACCAAATTATCCTAAATATCTAAGTTACTCTGCTTGATTTATTGGCTGAAGAGTCCTTACAAAAGACATACAATTCCGATTGTTCAACTAAATATAATCCTCAACACAAAAAGCCTGAGTTTATTGATAATACCATATAATAAGAGCTGCAGCCAGTGCCTCGACACATGAAAGCTCACAAGGTCGGCCATAATTTACTGGATTTGCTGCTACCAACCAAGGTACTGCAATTCAACTTATACGCATGAGCCCAAAACAAAAAAAATTTGAAGGTTTAGTTGATAATCCTAATTCCTGTGCATTAAAATTTTTTCTGGTTTATCTTTTGCACGAGTTTTCTCAAGTCTAAAAGCTTTTTCCTAATGATTTGAAGGTCTGCACATGGATGAATATATTTGATTTAGAGTAATTCAAGGCAACATACAAAGACGAGGAGCTGCACACCGCAGTTTGGTGAAAGGCACGTCCTCTAGGCGGGCCCACGAGCAATCAACAACGGCTAAACCTCTTCGCCTGATCAGTTCAAGATCCTCTTGGGAGACACACTGTGTCCCCGTGGGACTGAAACATGAAAAAATTGATACCAGACAACCTTAATAATGTATAATTTACCATGGTGAAAAAATAAATTAAATATGTTACACCATTCATGAAAATGGATGTATAGGTCTAGTTTAGAACTTGTTAGTTGAAAATGTTATTATCAGAAAAGCAGTAGATCAAGAAATGAACAAAGAGAAACATCAAATTTATATTTGGAATCAAAGCATTCTAGATAAACTTCACGTTTTAATTCTACCAATTTTTTTCAACATAAAACAATCCCAAAATGTCACAGGCTCTAATGTTGGCACTGAAACATCTATTGATTAGTGGAATATTCATAAAGGTAATAGTCTTGATGAAATATGTATCAACTATTAACAAATATATTCAATATAATCTCATAAAAACTTATAGTCAGGAAGCACTTGACGATCATTAGTTGCAATTCTTTATGTGAAGTTACAAATATCTCATGGTTTTTAACTAATTTCAAGCGGGCCCATGGATGTTGGGTCCACTGTCGTTAAAGAAATGCTGTCATGCGCCATGAATGAACCTATAGGTGTCCAAACAATGCAAAGAATAAGCCATCGACATTTCAATGCAAGAAACAATATTATACAAGAAGACAGATTCATCATAAGTGCAGCTAATAGACAGTGATAGTTTATTCACCTCAAAACAACACCCCCAAATCCGCTACTAACTCGTAATTCCTGAAAAAAAAAAAAAAAATGAAGAACTGTTAATCAGCACAAAATATTGCGGTGAACAGATCGTCCACCCAGTACCATCATTCCTCCTACAAATGATAAGCATGACATAGGTATACTTGAGTTCATATTATACATTATTTAAATACAAAAAATACTTTCTTTCAACAATCCAAATCTTGCAAGCTTGCGTCCTGTGCACCTCTTCGCATCACATTGGCCAAAATCCTGAAACCACAGCATAATTATTTTAGAAAGACCAACCACAATTAAAGCAAAACAAAAACCCGTTCCAGTTTCCAGTAAATTGTCCGTATTAAAATGTGTCTGATCAAATAAATATAGACATACATCGACTTTGTCAAATTTTCCAGAACTGTGTTAGAACATCAAAAACCATAAGTCTCATGCCATAGGAACGTCACAAACAGAGGACCCGTTTTCACAGCATGTGATCAATCAATTCAACTTTTATCTTGAAATGTCATAGATTACATTCATTTCATTTTGTTGGACCCTAACGCAAGTACCATAATACCAATTATCAAGGGGGAAAAAAAAAGAACAAACCTTATTAGCCCCATAAGAGGTATCTCAAATTAAAGATGGCAAAATAGCTACTTCATTTGAAGACGTAAAACAGACCCGAAAGATGTACAATGAAAACTAGTGGGCACATACCCACATGGCGAGCTGAATGGCTGGACCCGTTTGCTCCTCCCCTTCAGCTGCTGCCATAACCTCACACAGATGCAATTCATCAAACAAATGGAGCGCATAATTGGGTAAGAAACATTCATGCCCACATTGTGTTACGTACCTGGGTCAGTGGGCAAAGACACATCATCTTCATCCCTGATCACGCCCAAGTCAGTAAATTAAAAATTAAAATCGCAAGAAACCCAAAAGAGAGAGAGTACAATTCACAAGAATAAGATATGACCGGCGGTGGGGTATTTTCAAAGGAAAGTTGCTTGCCTGTGAAGTTGATGAGACTGGCCATGGGATTGGTTGCGGTGGTTATCTTTCTTGAAACGCCTCTGCTTTTGCTTGTTGTAACCCATTTTTTTTCGCCTGTTCTTGGTATCTCG